TTAAAAAAAAAAAAAAAAAAAAAAAAAAAAAAAAAAAAAAATATATATATATATATATAACGCTAGATTTCATTTTTGATTTCCATATAAATTACGTCTAACTTCAACAACAACAACATATAAACCCAAAATGACTACAGCAATTTATTTTAAAGAATATAGAATGGAACGTAAAATACAAATTTATTAACATTGTTCCTGGTGATCTTTAAAATGGATGTGCATTCTCTCAACACTTGCTCATGCGGTGCGTCACCTTGTGAATTGTCTCTTGTCTTTTTTAATAGGGATGGGTTTGTAAAAAACAGTCTTTTCTGTTTTCCTGTTCATGTTCTGGTAATTTCCATATCCTCCTCGTTTTCGGGGCCGTGAGTTTTTAACGTTGCCAATTTCTGAGAACGAGAGTCATGGCCAATAACCGGTGTAAATTTCACAAACATGCTAAAAATAAACTGAAATACAAATCTATAACAACAAGTAAAAACGTTAACTATCTAAAACATTAGAAGTGGCATAACTGTAAATACGCAATGGCACTGGAAAAGCGAAACGGCACAATTTTGTTTTAATATCGGATTTTGTTCATTTTTGTTGTTAAGCACAAAATTCACACAATGGGTTAGATATATGTGTGTGTATGAGTGTGTTGTGCCCACCGCGGGTATCGAAAACCGATTTTTAGCGTTAAAATCTGCAAGACCGCTGAGCCACCGAGGCTTAATAACGAGAAAGTTGTAAACATAACAAAAAACATGAACTACGCTATATATACACGATATCAATTGAAAAGCCGCGATACGAACAATGAAAGATCCATGGTTTTAACAAAGAAATAACTATGGAAAATACGACACGAACTACGCCATCACTGAAACAATGTAAAAACCACTAGTAAAACTAAGGTGTAACAATGCTGTGATAGCTACCGTAATCACGGATTAATACTATGACAGATTACGACATCCAGTAACAGAAAAACCACGATTGATGATTAATTTCTGACTTACGATTATGACTATTTCCAACAGACGTGCCCCTATTATTGATACAGTTTAGTTCTTGTAGTTAAAAGAAACATGATAAAAAAAAAGTTACAATTTTAAATAAAGTTCTGCAGAAAAAAAGAAAACAGGGACTAACTTCAGTGGTTTTGAACTATACAAATTCTTACAACTTTCGGGACTTCATATCATTGTGTTTAATCATTATAATAATTCTGATTTTTCTCGAGAAATTTTTCGCACAGTTAAACCTTGTCCAACACCAGTTTATATAAGGTTTATATGCAGTCAAAGTGTTAAAAGTACGTTTCAAGATGCATTTGTTCTTTTTCTGAATTTCGCACAAATCCATTCGAGATGTATCTGCGCTAGCAGGCCCTAGTTTTAAAGTGAAAGACTAAAGAGAAGGCAGCTAGTCAACACCGCACACCGCCAACTCTTGGATTACTCCATACCAACGAATAAGTTAGTAACTAAAATAAGACAACTATAAAGTTTAATATATTAGAACTGTGATTGTACGAAAGCCTGTTTTTATTTTTATTAATCAATTAATATAAAAAACAGTTTTCTTTATAACCCCTACACACGGGTGAAATGTTAGGCGACGGGTTTCGATCCCACGACCTTCGTATTGACCTAACTACTAGGTCATGCCAAGCCCAATACAATAATCTTACCCTCCGATGCCCTTCACAATTCATTACAGTCAAGGAAAGAACAAAAACACTGGACTTATCAAGACTCACTGAAGTCAAAGTGATGAAAAACCGTTGTTCCTTTCAAGATGCTTCACAGGCAAAATGACAAAAGAAACCATTGGGCCATTCAAGATCCATTATATTAAGTCATTAAAAAAAAGGTTGTATCTTTCAACACGTATTGTAATCCTCCGTCTGATTCCTGTTCATCCGTAATGAACAGAAATGATTTAAAGCTGAACTACTTGTTTGAAAAGTTTTGAACTTGCGCAATTGTCAATACATTTGAAGTATCGTTTATGTTGCTGAAGCGTGAGTGAAGAGTTATATATATATACGAATATTAGTATTTTACTGACATAACTGTCACATAATTCGTCTTGGATGAAGAGTCATGTGCATTTGTTTGCTTATTTTGAACATAATATCCTACTTAAAAACCTTTATATTGCCGAATAAATACATCTACATTGAATTTGTCACCTATTTGCTATTACGAAAATATTATTCACTTACTATAATAAAACGCCCCTATGTGCGAAAGGGTGTAGCATGTATGTATGTATGCTTGTTTGGTTTATTTTGAATTCCGCGCAAAGCTACACGAGTGCTATCTGCGCTAGCCGTTCCTAATTTAGCAGTGAAAGAATAGAGGGAAGGCGGGTAGTCATCGACACCCACCGCCAACTCTTGGGCTACTATTTTACCAACGAAAAGTAGGATTGACCGTCACATTATAACGCCCCCTGGTTGAAAGAGCGAACATGTCTGGTGGGAAGGGGATTCGATCCCGCGATCCACAGATTGTTTTTTTTTAATTTTTTTTGCGATTATGTAAAGATTACTTCTGAGAAACTACTGCGTTTCTTGGCCTGTTCCCTATACTTGAAAAGAAGTATTCAACTTTATTTTCTCATTATTATGAACATGAACTGTGTATACAAAGTCAACGAACAAAAGTGAAATGTTGTTGCTGTTTCGAAACAATTGTAACTATTTTACCCAAGTCATTATTTCAAAAAACTTGGCACACACAGCGGAGGAGGAAAACGTAGTTCCAGAAGTTTCGACACTCTTGTACCACTAACAACTCGTATGAAACAAGTGGTAAAAGTAGCTAGCCTTGGTAGGAATGTAGATATCCAGAAATCTGTATTCTTGTCATGTAGTACATATGACCAATGACGCTTGTAAGGTCACGACAGATTCGAGGTCGCGGATTACAGCGCCCTCTCTCAGTACAATTAGCACACCAGGTGTGGAATTACAATCACGGCTCGTTTCCTCAACTGGTTTCTTAATGAAATGGATGCTGTTGGTCACGTGTTATCTGTTAATATACCACAACAACATTGTCTAACACATCGAAAACAGCTGTCTGTTTCAAACCTTTCTGATTCATTAGACAAAATATTATCACTTGTAATTTTGTTGTACACCAATCCAAGGAAATCATTATGCCAACATTTTCCCAAATATATGATTATATTCAGTTAACACTAGAACTTTATATGTTAACCTCATACTTCACATTTGAACAACAACGAAAACCTTTACTATAAACCTGGAAAATATGACAATTCGTTTTTCTCTTGATTTTTACACGATTTAACCATAAATTCCTTGGTGTACACGACTTACCCCAAGCAATACACTATGGGTATAAAAAATTTGAGGTTCACACAACTTACAAATCAAATTTGATGTTTGTACATTTATATACGCATTCCCATATTTTAATACCCATTTGTTTTCTTTATATTCATTTGTACATTTTTCTTCATCCTGTCCACACACCTTTACAATACTTAGAAATTTGCTGTCGCTCTGACATAATTTTCAGTCTCTCAGACGTTAGATTCCCAGTTCTTTCGCTTCTTACCACCGTCTGTGCCTAATTAGCTAGTTCAGTCATCCGGAAGTCAAAGAACTGCATCAGGTAACGATCTTTTTGACCCGCTAATTATTTTTGGGGAATATAATCGTATGTTAGAATAAGCGTCAATAGATAACGATTTCAGCTCGTGGGATACAAACAATATGACCCCCACCTCCAATTTCTATTTTTCGAAATCGACAGAAGAATTTCATTGACACTTTTATCGTCAAGCATGGTTGACCACGAACCACGTGGTCGCTGAAGCCGTGAATGTAGATCTGGTTCTTAGAAGCATAAGCGTAATTAACCGTAGGATGTTATCAAATTTCACAAAATGATGAAATTCCTCAGCCTGGGTAAAATAATGTTTACTTAAGTTTTGGTATATGTCAAATGTATGTAAAATTCACACGTGCATTTCTGCAATCAGACACACGTTAAGGGCCGAAGACCCATACGCTTCTCTCTATCTTACAACTACTTTAACCTGGCCCATTGACTCAACAGCACCACGTCACCATAGCAACGACCCAGTGGGCTCAGGTCGATGTACTGGAACTAGGAAGCACGGATGATGAACGGGGGGAGGGGATAGATGAACTTTTAAAGACTCGAAAACACTCAGAAGTTGTGAGGATGAAATAAAATTGTTATTTGGTGATATCCTTACAATACTTGATGATGTAAGCTCAACATTTCGAAAGTGGTTAATTTTTAACTGCACGTTTTGGAACCAAAATTTAGGTTCTAAACTGTTCTTGTATTTACAACTAGATTCGGGTGTCGTTTTGTTTTCTGAGAGAGAGAGAGAGAGAGGAGCCAGTTCGTTAAAATATCCCATGTATCCATCAGTCTTACGACATCCAGTTCGCTAGATCTTTCACAAACGACAGATATTATTAGGCTGACAGCAGGTGCCAGGAAGACGGACGGTTGCGAGATTGACATTTCACTTAGTTGAAACGTCAAGGGAACTACAAAACACGCAAAAAGATATCAAAGAACCTTTACTTCCCTTATAACATACCAACTTATTACAGATACCATAACACCACACCGTGTAAGCAATGTGTGCTTAAATGATAGCCGTAATTAAAAACAACAACAACAAATAAAAACATATGTGGTTCGGTGTCTGTTTGTGGCACTTCGGATGTACTACGTAGTATTTCTTATTCATGACCTTTTCCTTCAGGTTTAACGATCTTTGCTCAGTCACAAACCAATTAAATAAACAAACAGTTTATGAGAAGGTAAGTATCCCGGTCGGTTCAAGTTGCTTTTATATTTATATGGAGACAGGGTGATGTGTATTGTGGCATAGAGCCCATTCATTAAGACTTTTATGTTTATATGGAAGCAGGGTGACGTGTAATGTGGCACCGAGCTTATTCATTAAACTTACTATACTTATATGGAAGTAGGGTGACGTGTAATGTGGCACCGAGCTTATTCACTAAACTTACTATACTTATATGGAAGTAGGGTGACGTGTAATGTGGCACCGAGCTTATTCATTAAACTTACTATACTTATATGGAAGTAGGGTGACGTGTAATGTGGCACCGAGCTTACTCACCAAACCTACTATACTTATATGGAAGTAGAGTGACGTGTAATGTAGTACCGAGCTTATTCACAAAGATTATTATATTTGCGGAAGCTGGTTTGATGTGTATTGTGGCACCGAGCTTATTCACTAAGCCTATGACACTTATACAGAAGCAGCGTGATGTGTAATGTTGCACTGAGATTATTCATTAAGAATAAATAGGTCTTAAAACTTCATTACTGAACATTACTGTTACATCCTTTCCAATCTATACTGCGATAAAAATACCAATTATACAACCTTAACTAACATTTCTTATTGTGAAAAACAAACAATCAAAACGAACCCTAACATTAAGTATCCTTTGAATATGCCATTTTTTCAGTAAAAGATTAAACAAAAGGTAAAAACATTTCGAATTCGACTTGATAATAAACGACATGGAAAATGGAGCTTGGAATCTCTCTCCAAAATGGCCAACTACGGTTTTGTTATCAAATGAAGTATGCAAATACGTGTAAGAACTGTTTGGGCTTGTGATCATGTATAATAATATTTACAGGATATGACGCAGAAACTTGACTTAGTAACAAGTACTGAAACAAACTTTTGTATCACTTTTAACCAACTGACGTCATCGTGTTTCGTATTCCATCATTCCGGTTTCTTCCTCCCCCATGTTTACCAAGAGATTAGGCTAAAATCACGATTTGAAATCTTCCAAACTCTAAGCAGAAACATGGACCACACTAAAGCTAACCCTAAGTTTTAAACTGTAAACAGGGGTAAAACATATATATAAATAAAATAACATGAAAAATATTTGTATAAAACAAAACAGGTAAGAATATATTCAGAGTAACAACTGTGCTGCTGTTTCTGTCTAAATTAAAAGTAAAACAGGAAAATAATTAATGATATACCATTTAAACTTAAGTAAATAATAGCTAAATTGCTAATATAGAATACTAATGTCTTCTATACGGTTGATAATAAAATTTGTTAAACAAAACTAAAAACATTCTGAAACAAGTTAAGTGACCTATACCGGTAAAATAATACTGGTATATAGAGAAATCATAAGAGCTGGTAAAACTAATAGCAGAAATCCTCAAAACAGTAAAACACATTTCAAAGGATACTAAGTTCAACGCTAGGAGGCACTGAAAAACCGAAAGACTTTGCGACTGAAATCAGATCTAGAGTGTTAACGTCATAGATCTGCTTCAAATGGTGAGAGTCGTAAGCTCTGACGTATGCTTTATAAGCTTCCTTTGCAGACATGTGAAGGAAGTAGTTTTTCGAAATCAGCTTCTCCAGCTATAAAGAAAAAATAATAATTTAATAGTTAAAGCTGATTATTAAAAAAATGAAATTTTTAAAATGAAACTTCGTCTTTTACATGAAAGTATCACTTCTCTAAATCATTACAAAAACATACGTACATGTAACAAAGCAGTGTTAAGTAAATCTAAGTGTTACCAGTGATTAAATTACAGCACGTAAATCACAGGTAATTGTTTTATACAATTTCTGATAAAAACGAGCACCAGGTTAACGTTGTACTGACAAGAGCAGGTGGATCAACATGAAAAAAAACAACAAACAAGCAGTCTTAAGTGCTTTATATCACAAATATCAGGCCTATTGGATTATAACATTTCGCCAGCTTTCGGTCCTTAAATCATAACTTTTATCACTCTTCGTCCAGCTCAGTTGAAGAGTTCTGGAACCAAACGAAAATTATCCTCAACAATGCTGTGAGAGACAAAAAACAGAAATGAAATACTACTTTTACACACTTCTGATTCGCAATCCAAAACGGAAAAATTATGAATAATGCGAAAAAGCACACCTTCGGTCTTAGTAATTTTTATAATAAATATTATACAATGGTTTAGGAAGGAGTTGCAAGGTGGGGGTGCTTGGCTATAAACATGCACATAATATCTAAAAGTCAATGTGTGTCACGTCACGACACTCTTTATTTTTCGAAATAGGAGGAGTCATAAAAGCCAAAATGCATTTATCAAATACAATAGTTCGATTACTGTCTGCACATTACGATTTTAGTAATTGGGGTGAAAGGGAGCCGTGAAACCCTATAAGTGTAGTAAGTGATGATATGATAAGCCTAAAGTAAAGACGTAGTGTAGGATCACCTAGCTTAGAGCCAAGTGCAGAATATTTTTCATGAAAGTAAAAATATCGATTCAATTTTAAACTTAAATTGTTTCTGAATTAAGCTATTTTATGTTATATCACCACCGCTTTTAATAAAAAACAAACCTTTTTTTAATCAACGGAGACCCTAAATTAAGAAATCAACAAATATTTTTCTTGTCTATACATTTCATTTTATACGTTCAGTACGTAGACTAACAACAATATAAGGTTATACTTTTGTTGCTAAGCGACATTACATAAAAGCCATTGTTCAAACGTAGTGTTACCAAAACACACTGACTTTATATATTAGAAGTTGTTAATCTAACTGATTTTTAACAATAACCATTCCATGAATGTGTCACGAATTCATTTCATGGATGATTTCAATTTTGATTGGCTCGCAAAGGAATTTACCGACGTTTGGCTGCCTCGACTGCACTTTTCTGCCTCTTTGTTGGTCAAGCTTGGTTTCGCAAAATGTATTTATTTCAGTTAGTTATGAAATGTAAGGTCAGGATATACTATGGGGTAGGGGTGGTATTACTTGCCTCGTCATTTTTGAAGGGCTATACGCTAGTAATAATATAATTTACAGTTGATATACAAGTTAAATATGTTAAAGTAGGACATGCTACAGCACCCCGGTTTCAACGTCTCTGTTATAGGCCTACTGTAGAATGTGTGGTATTCACACTGTGTAATCAGCAGTCCGTAATAACTAAGGTATCGAATATTCTGTAGCAGCAAACCTATCTGAGGAAGACGTATCAACAAATGATGGCTATTGCAGATTGAAAAGTTGCTGAATAATATAATATAATTTGCTAATATAATGGTAAGGTGAAGCTACAGTTGACTGAATAACCGAACTGTTATATGTATATCTGATATAGCTAGCAGTAATATAAAATATGGTAAAAACATGTTAAACTAGACAGCTTGCAGGAGCAGGGCTTTCTTACCTACAACTTTTCTTTTTTACTGCTAAGACTAATCTTCCCTCAGGACATCCTGGTAATTTCATTACCCCACATATCAAAACATACTAGGCACATGATATCAGTTTCCAAGAAAACAAAGTTCCCATGCACCAGAAAAACTAACATGCAAGACAGCTAGCGATGTATTTCACTTTGAATACCACTCCCCAAGTGGGATCTTCTACAAGTTGACATCAGAGGTTCTAGTTGTATCAAACAACCACTTACTTACGAAAATATCAGCATATGTATGTATGTGTATATATAACTCTTCCCCCTTTCCTCTTAAGATTCCTCCTGATATCAGCCCACATTTAAAATTAAATGCTGATCAAAATTTACATTATAAACCTACAATTTCTACACTGCACCCAACATCAATGTGCACAACGAACTTCATAATACAAAGCATGTGACGTAACAGTAACAGGATAATTACATCCATAAATCATACTATTTACCTGAATCAACTAGATCATTACATTAAAGATACCTCCAGTAAAACATCAGGGATGGTTTGGGACAAATCACAGCACTCCCCATATCTATTTGATAGGAAACAATTTTAGATGTACCAACACCAGATTACAGGTTATATAGCCCCAATGTATCATCACTATCAAATTAATAACATAATATTGACAATAATAGCACTTTTGATCGTCCCATTATAGACACTTCTAAAGCAATAGTTATAAAAATAATCATAATATCAAATAATAGTTGGAATAGCCTTAAATTCAACAATAATATCAAACATAGCAATTATACATTATAAATACATACATAGTGCACACACACACCGCTAAGAAATGTTCAACAATGACAGTCTATTACATCCAAAACACCAGATTACCTTCTGCACACTGCTAGCCTCTCATTATCCAATTAACTATACTACTATAAACAAAACACTTAAGAGAAATAGCTATCCTCTATCCTACCAAACACAATAACACAACCTTTCTCTTGCTGTCCTATAGTGACATATCACTACATACAGGTAAATCTCACTCACTATATATATTCCACCAGTTAAAAGATGACCACATCTACAAAACAACTCAAACACATTAACTTGTTCTCATTTATGATCCAAGATGATGATGACTTTCATCAGTCACACACACTACATTACATTGGTACATCAGAAGAACACATCTCAGGTTCTAGTTACACCAAAACATTTACTAGACTGTTTGTCAGAGTTAACAGACAGTTGTTAACTGTTGATCTGCAAGCCATCTAAACAATTTTAACAGTTCACTTTGAGTGTGTTCACCCCAAATCATGTCAAGAGCATTTAGCCAATTCTTTAAGCAAGAAGGTAACATAAAATACCCCATTATTCACTTCCTGGCATAACATTTCAATTGTTAGCTAAGAAAGGAAAGGGCACTTGTCCCTTTTTCTCCAAGTTATCACTGATTTCTAACTATCCTAACATGTAATTTTTATTTCACATTTTATACCCAAGTTTTCAAAAAGTATAGAGTGCATTAGTTCAGTGCTGTCTTAAAGTATACACAATAAGTACAATTATAGTTGATATACTGAACATCTTCATTTATTTCCAACTACATTATGCATGAGAGTAACCATGTTACTGGGATCCTTCTTGTAAACATTACAGCTGTTCAGACATTGAATCTTCACCATGTGGCTCATCAGGAACAGCCAGACAGATACTTGTAGCATCTTCTTCCTCATGTGTCTCATCAAGAAAAGCCAGTCAAGTACTTGTAGCATCCTCTTCCTCATGTGGCTCATTAGGAAAAGCCAGACAAGTACTTGTAGCATCCTCTTCCTCATGTGGCTCATTAGGAAAAGCCAGACAAGTACTTGTAGCATCCTCTTCCTTGCAAGTTTTGTCACTAATCAACATTTCTTCTTTGTCTCTCTCTTCATGCCTTGTTCCAGCCATTTCACAAAAAGCCTATTAATGAATTTCATGCACTTACATGCATCACATAATCATGGAAGCATATAATTTGATGGATTAAGCTGTTGGAGCACAAGGTATGGTTCAGTCCAAATGGATTCCAAAGATTTCCTGGTGAGTAACACAACAAATCCCAGCTCCATATTGAAAATTTCCTATGAAATTTTCTACGTTTTCATTGTATGTTTGTTTCTCACATTTGCTGCATATTGTGCAAATTTATGGGCTTTAGCAACGATGGTTTGTGAGTACTTTCATGTCTCCTCTTCAGTCATACACAATCTTCTGAGAGGAAACCTACCTACCCAGCTTTGGTGATATCTGATTGTGAAACTCCATTGAAGACCTCATGGTTAGAAAACAGATCCACTTGAAGTGGTCTTTAGAAGTGTTGAAGTTCAGTAAACTTTTAGTAATATTCTTCATTTTTATCTAATTTTCAGTTTTATATATTATTCTGTCTGATTTCCAGGTCATACAGTAGTCAAAGTCTCACATGGTGAAATACTGCATAAAAGTGTCAAGCTAGTATCCCAGTCTTTGTGCTAATATTTTGTTCTAAAAGAGTTCATTTAGCTAATATACATGGCATTCACCTTACATATTACTGTAAACATTCTGGTATAGCCAGAATTAGCAGTTAGTCGTATGTTTGTTCTACAAGGAGCCCGACTTCTCAAACAAACATTAATAAGTTAGGAATGCATCAAGTTGACTGATGTTGTGATCCTCAAATTCCTCAGTCTACCTACGAAAAAATTTGCAACCATTTCTATATCAGTTTGAACAATTTTGCTCAGTTAGACCATCAGATTGGGGATAATAAAATGAAGTTCAACTATTCAATCTCCTTCCCATCATGTTACATAATTCTACACACAGTGAATTATTAAGATCCATTGTCATAAGAGTGTTTTAGTACCTACTTTTCTATATCTAACTGACCAAGATTATGAGCCTCTGTAGTATACTGTTTTAAGTTACAGTTTCATCTGCTCCATGGCAATAAGTGATCATGCTAGATCTGGATCCTTAAACTATTGACTCTAAAGTTTTTTGTTTTTTTTAATCAGCTTCAGCAGTCAGTTATTTAAGATGTTCTATCTATCTGTTACTAGGTCTATCACTGGGCCAACTTTCATATTCATTACACAACTTTTTTGCAAACAAATTAGTTTTATTTTTCATTTCCATACTATTTTCTGGATCAGGTAAAATATGATTATACT